TATCCTTATTCCCCACCCTCGGCCGCCAGACTTCACTTAGGACCACGGCGCTCCAGCGGAATGATGTGTGCCCCGAGGTCAAAATTCTCTCCATCTATTCTTCGTTCATTTGTGTACACAATAAACTATTCCTAATATTCTGGCCTCCACTGACTTCTTCTCTACTAAGTAATCATGGTCTGAAGATCGCAGTTGCTAGGATTTAACTTACTTAACCCCCTGCGATAAGCTTTTACGTTGCATGCAGAATGAAGACGCCGGTGAAGATGAATTCCAGGAAAACCTTTGAAGATCAAACGTGTGGTCACGCAAATGGCTCCTGTCCTTCAATTTGAACTAATGTACTCTGTTGCGTCTGGGAAGTCGAAATCCAGCCCCTGATGCGCGATCCTATAATTTGAACGGAATCCCACTCCAAGAAGCAGTTATACAGAAACATATCGGCATCTCAAACCTTCTATACAATGTTGTAAGGCGGTTAAAGCTGCAACTTCAATGTTTTACGCTATCAAGCGGACATTCACTGTTTTTAATGAAGACGCCTTTTCGAAAAATTTCGGTGCCTTTATAAGGGCCACATCTTGAATACGCGATCCAAGCCTGAAGAACATGGATTCAGCAGGATTACAACGTACTCGAAAGGTTGCAGCGGCAGGCCAAGAAATTAGAAAGAGTTCAAGGTGCATTCCCATATCAGATCCGCCCAAATAACTTTAATCTCTATCCTCTGTGTAGGAGGTCAAACTGATCCTTTTGTTTTAACGCTCCTTTTGTACTTTCGTTTTTAGTAGCGGTCGTGGACGGAACGCAAGAAGTGGCTCTGGAGGACGCCCAGATTGAAAGTACTGAGGACAAGTTTGAAGAGAGTCAGTGATCATCCCGATCTAATGAGTCGCTACTGATGTGTGTTCCCCTTCTAATTGAATAAGCATTCGTTCCAGCACGGTATCTTACCTATTTGCGTATGTGATTGTCTAGCCCACAATTTTCTGTCATTATGGGACTTCAGGCGTTAAATCAAGATCAACAACAGGCTGAAGGCCTGACTGCAGAGGAAGTCAAGCTTGGTGAGATCAAGTCTAGTTCCGGAGAAAAGGATAGCTCTGGCACGTTTATTACATTTGAGTTATGGGCAGTTACGTAGAGATTTGATACGGACCTTCCGTATCGTGCGTGGCTTGGACTGCGTCCTCCGATGTGACGCCTTTTTCAACCCGTCACTAACACTAAGCTCCGGAGACATGCCTTCAACATATATATGCCCCATGAACGATTGGATTTGAGGAACTATTTTTCTCTAACCGGGTTGTGGAACCGTAGAATAACCTACTCGAGGCGATTGCAATGTCCCACTCTGTGGAGACGTTTAAACACCGACTTGATATCCACATGCTGCAGCACAACGTGAACTATGTGACTAATTAATCTTAAAACACCGAGGCACGATATGACACTGTCGACATTAACCCGACTGTAATTTCTGTTCATCGTTCCTCAGTCATGAAATTTTGATGTGAAAAATAGGGAGTTCAAAGCCGTAACCCTTTTTCTCCTCAAATACACTGGCTGACCGAAATTTTTGGCAAAATCGGAGATAGCCTGATATCGAACAAATTTCCTATGCTACATGATACAACAAAACCAAGCCTTTTATTTTTGTGCGACGGGTTATTGGAGAACCCCAATATAACCATTAACATTTTAAAATATATCCCTCCCAGAACCGGAAAATCTAGTCTTAATTTGATAAAAATCGGGTAAAGCCAAATTTAAGAAATCACATTGCTTTTTATTTTATATAAAGAAAACGGTAGGGATATGACCTGGAATTTGAAATTTTGAATTCATATTTGTTAGCGCCAGGAAGGCACTAGCTAAACAAATTTTTTGTCGAAAAAAAAATTATGACAATGTGAGCAGATAAAATGGACAAATTTGTACTAATGTAAATAGAAATTGTCCTTATAGAGCAATAGTTAGCGACGTTCTGAAACTAGCTGTGAACTAAGAAATAAACTGTTAAAAAAACTCCTGCGCAGCGTTCAATGGACCTCTGTTTTCAAAAAGAGTGTAGGAGAAAAACTGAATAGGAAAACAAGATAAAACGCTAGAGAAGGCTGATACTAGGATACCAGTTCGGAATGAGGGAGTTAAATGTCTATATCGTTCGCTCTTGTTTGTTAATGCCAATGAAATGAAATCTCGTGAAAAACCTCAGTCCATGTGAGGCCTCGATATTTCAGGAGCCAGAATGGAATTCTGATGATGGTTTGTAGACAATGAAACGGGAGCAGTTTAGACTCTGTGTGTCCATATGAAGTCCATCGTTTGAATGAGTGGTGGTGTAAGAATACATTGTGGTTCCTGAGGGACACGTGGCAGAGCTAACTTGCAGTGACTGGATTATTGGAAGCACCCTGAAGTTATCTGTCCAGACAGCTCGAGCTAGGCCACGCAACGATGCTTCCTTCCGCCGAATCCGGAAGACGAGAGCAAAGTCGACTAGGAATGGCTAGTAGAAGTATTGGTCCGAAACAGCGACCCCACGGAGCAGGCCTAAAATGCTGGTGACACTCAGAAGCCCTACCAACTTATCCGCCATGTTAGTGGTATTCCTTCAAAACCTAGTGACTCTTTTCGCGAGGTGAATGGTGACTTTTCTGCTGAAAACTTGGCTAAGGTTGATCGCTGGTGTGAGCCCTTCGAGTACCTCCCCAACTTTGATGAGCAACCAATCACACCCTTGCTCTCTTCCGCAGCGAAGTGTCATCCCTCTCTAGCATATGTAGTTGCGGGCAACCTCGCTGATTTATTCATTGATTACCAGTTAGCAGTAGGTGATCGATCTGGCGGGGAAAAAGCTCCCTAGAATTCTTCCTAGAGTTTATCAGTAACTGGTGTTTTCGGGAGAAAAACTGCAGCTGGTTGAATGATTAAAGATCGGGAGGGGGAAGGATTTACATGGGTGCATGGTGTGGTCTGTCTCCCTTCGTTGTTATGGAACTGGTATTCTGCACCAGAAAGAAGTGTTTTTGTGAATGGTTGTTCGCTCTCGGCTGATTAATTAGCCGATTGGGGTTGCAGAGTCAGCATTATTTCCGTTGGACATTAATCGCGCGCCCTTCGAAATCGGTTTGACTTTTTCGGACTCCAAGGG